CCGCAACTGAACAAACATGCAGGCAGAGACTCATTAAACAACAGTACCCCAAGAGCCTCTCTGTCTGCTGAGCTGTGATCTATACACGACTGCGAGACGGAAGAGCTGGTCACAGCCCGCTCGGCGGCGTACAGGCCCCACCAGGATACAAATGGTGCTCCAAGTCAGGGCTGAGGCGTTGTGATTTTGCTCGCAAGAGGCAAGGCCGGATCCCACTGCAGCAGAAGCAAGGGGACGAGGCTCAGCGCGTCACCAAACGGAGGAGCGAGGGAGGAAAGGGCCGCAGCACCTCGCTTCAATCTGTGGCAGGAATCTCCGCCCTGCGCCGCAGCACCGCGCGAGCGCGGTGACTGCGCAGCAAGACGGACATCTCCTGCAACAGTTCCGAATGCAGTCCCGATGGTGGGGCGTCCTCGCGTGCAGCCGCAGCTCGGGAAATGAGGAGGAGGATCTTCGCCGCCTCAGGCTCCCAGGCGCCACGTCCCTGCTCAGTGCAGACCCGGGCAGTGCCCAAGTGTGACGACTTGACTTCTGCATATGCGGTGGCGGCAGCCAGCGCCTGTTGACCAGCCCTGCCAAGGGACTCCTGCCGCTGTGGCGCTGTCACAGCTAGGTCAGGGGCAGCAGGAGTTCCATAGAGGGATGGCAAGTAGATGTCCGCAGGGCGGCGGTGAGCAACACGAGTGTCATCTGGACGCTGGGGCAGCAGAAGGCCCGGCTTCTCAAGCTCAGGGCGAAAACCCGCACGTTCGGCCCATGCGGCGAGCAGGTCACGCACAGCGTTGTGGCGTTGGTTGCGTTCCCCTCCCGCCACGCAGGTCCCGGCATGCAAGGAAAAGCGGTCCAGCACTCCCTCACAGCACGGGCAAAAAGCGTCGGCAGAGGCATCGACAAGACCAAGCCGCTGGCGAAGCTCGATGACGAACGCCGCAGCTTCGAGGCGTTTGCGGCCGGATGGCACTGCAGCCAACCACGCTCGCCCTCCGGGTTCGGCTTCGGAGTGAAGGACTGCGCGCCCAACAATTGAGGTTGATGCCAGCTGTTGTTGCCAACCTTCCTTGTCCAGAAGCAAGGTGATGGCCTTTTGCTTCATGCCCAACAAGAGGTGGGGTGCCACAGGCAGCCGAAGTCACAAGTTAACAGCGTCCGCAGCCTGAAGCACTGCAGTGTGGCTGGCGAGCCCAGTCGCTCCATAGTGGGCATCAAGCCCGCGACATGCCGTCGCGCAGGCCCCCACAGAGGCCAGATAAGCTGCCGGACCATCATCAGCTGTGGAGCGGAGGCCTAAACCAGCTTGCGCAAGCCCACGTGCAGCCTGAGCCCACTGGTTCGCATCAAGGTGAAGCCCAGTGAGGCCAGCAAAACAGGCCCGCACCAGCGAATCGAACCTGTGAAGCTGAGAGGTTAAGGCCTGATGTGGCGTGCACCGGATGCTGTGTATCAAGCGGCAGTGGCTCGCACAAGACCGGAGGAGCTTAACGCCGACCTGGGGGTCCTCCAGCTCTCCCAGAGCAGCCAGCAGGGGTTCGGCCTTAGAGATTCGGGCCGCCGTGTGGGCCGCGACGAAGTCATCATCGCTTGGCCATCCGGGGAGCGAAGTAACTCAGAGGGAGGTGCGGGTGCAGGTCGGCGGCGGTGGTGCTGCACTTAGAGAGGTTGAGCTGCAAGCCCAGGGATTCACCTCGCTGCTGTACGTGGGCTAAAGCGGCCGCAACCGCCGCCGCATCGCCGGCAAGGATGCCATCATCAAGAAAGAACACTGCCAAGTCGAGACCTGCCTGGAGCTCCTGCGCAAGTGGTTGGAGAGCAGCCGCAAACAGCAGAGGTCCGAGTGGGTCACCCTGCTGCACGCCCCCAGCCGATGGGATGGTAGTGGTTCCACCAAAACGAAGGCTGGACGGCTGCTAATAGCACCATGCCACCCAGCGGGCCAAGCCCGGGAAGTGTGTGGTTGCGGCGGTTAGCACAGCTCTGTTAAAAGCATTAGCAAAGTCAAGTTTAACTAAAACTTTACCAGATGCAGTCGCGTGGCCTCCGATCCAAGCCCGGACAACGTGGATGGCCGCTTCTGCGCCTGACGGGATCGCCACTCCCACCTGTGCTGGCCAGAAGTACCGCTTAGCGTCGTCACGAACCAGGTGCATGAGGCTTTTGCCAGCAAGCCGCCGCAGCACTTCGCCGATCGCGATCGGCCGCACACCACCTTTGGGTTTTGGCACTGCCACCAGGTCCGCACCAGCCAGGACGGGGGCGACAGCGGCCAAGGCCTGACCACGAGCTAGGAGGTTGACCACAGCCGTCAGTTGCTCCATGAGGCTAAGGGCCGTGCCCGGCGGCCCAGCCTCACGCAGGTGCTGGACACGGAGACCACTTGGGCCTGGTGCCGTGTCGGCAGGGAAAGAGCGCAAAGCCCGTGCGACCTCATCCGCAGCAACCTCCAACGACAGCGGGAGCTCGCCGACAGTGACGGTTGGGACAGCTTGAGCCGGGTGCAAGGCCCGCAAGGCGGCAGCAGTGGCCGGGGTGTCCTCGCTCAGACCCTCCGCGACCAGCGCGTTGCACGCTTTGCGCTCGAAGCCCTCCCGTGTAAGAGCGATGGCCAGCTCGCGGTGTTGCTCTGCGGTGGGTCCATGAGCATTAGCGCGGCGTGGAGGCTGGTGGCGGTCATCCCACAGTGTTTGGCGCTCACCTTCAAGCCAGCGCTGCAAGCGGTCGAGTGTGTAGGCCGCGGCCGCTTTGCGGTGCTTGCGGCCAGAGCGGGGTGGAGCACCCAAGACGCACTGTGGTAGCATTAGCAGCTCGCACCACGCCCGTTTGTCATTGTGGTGAGCGGCCGCGGCCAAGGCTCTGGTGAGCACCTTGCCCCACAGGTACCGAGCAGCCGCTGGCACATGGCGGAGCGTGCAAGTTCTGCCCGCCTATTGTCTCAAAGCTGGGCAGCGGGTTGCCATCGGCAGCAGCACGCGGCTCGCCAGCGCCATCGACTGCATGTCTGGCGGCCGGTCGGCAGGTTGGGTGGATGCCATGACGGGTCGACACACTGAGGCCGTACACTGTGCAGCGTTGTCGTCCCTGTGCCTGTAGCCATGCCGCCGGCACCGTCCCATCGAGAGAGCCTGCTAAGTGGTTGTCGATATGATGTCGCATGGAGGCGACACTGGACCAACCAGGACTGCGGGCCACATCAGCGCAAGGACACCCGCTGACTGGGCAGTGAACACGGATGGCTGCAGCAGAATCCCCCGCCGCCGTGCAGGACGCTCACCGCCCAGTGGCGTGCCAGGTTCAGGGCCGGGTTGAGCTGCCTCGCCAACTCGCACGCCCGCATACGGTCTGCCAGACCACCGCTGGCCGGGTATGCCCGGCCGGGTATGCCCGACCTGCGCCAGCGAGGCTGGGCGCATCGAAAGAGCTGGCGACATCTGTGGCGGCGCATGGCAGGGCTGGCCGGCATCCACAGGCCCGCGAGGGGGCTCCAGACGTGCTCCACCACATGCATTGTAGAAGAAGTGTTCAGGGCACGTGTGTATTCCCTCCTCCGGCGGTGATTCAAAGCCGCAAGGAGGGAATCCACGAAGCCTGCATGTGGTTCGTGATGTGACACGGGCGGCAAGAGCAGATCTCCGAAGTGCAGGCACAGCGCGCTCAGCAAGAGCCCAGTGCGGGCCCAGGGCCCGTCGGAAAGGGGCGGCATTGCGAGAAGAACTACAGCACTAAATGCTCGTTACCTTGAGCCCTTGAGCAAGGACCAGAAGCAATGCGTGCCGGTTGCTGATTGATTGATGGATTGCTGGGTTGGTTGGCTGGCTGGCTGGTTGATTGACTGACTGACTGACTGACTGACTGATTGATTCACCGTGGGTGCGAACACCGTGCGAACACCCTTGCATGTGCAACGCAATGAAAGCTGCTCTGCGACTGCACAGCAATGCGAATCGGTTCAACGCACGTCTCCCACACAGGCCGTTCGCACTGTAGGCTCTCCCAACGACTGCTCATCTCTGCCTGAACTAACTCCGACCCCTCAAACGCCAAGCCGGGCCCGCCCGGCCCAGACAGCTGCCCTGAAGGCGGCAAAGCGGATGCCTGGCTCATACTCCGGTATTCCCACGGTATTCCTGATTCGTGCTCGACCGAGAAGCCACGCGAAACCTGACGTGAGCTGGGCTCATGGCTTGCTGCTCTCGTTCCACACTTGGATCTGCATGGGCCACAGCCTGCAATACCAACCCATCATGCGTCTGGCTGAAAGTCTCGGAAATTTTAATGCGCAGCGTCGCAGGGTCGTATGCTGTGCAAGAGGGGTCTGTACCGCTCGGGCCCCCGGCTGAAAGCGATCCAGCTTCCCCGGCAGCCGCAGAGCCTCCACGTGTCACGTGTCTTATTGCCACACATGAGCTGGAAAGCCAAAGAACCGCAAGACCGGGAGGCTGATTCATGTCGATCCCGGCCGCTGAAAACTTAGTTTGCGCATGTACAAGTTTTAGAAGTTACAATGTTACAAGTACCTACGTACCTAACAAAGGTGAGATTGTACATACCAGTCAAATACAGCGCTCCAGCGAGATTGCAAGACTTTGCAATTGACTTCGCTTCGCGAATTGCGCTCCAAACATCCACAAACTCACCACTCCTCCCCTGGCCCGCCGAAGTGACCACATAACTGCGCAGATAGAACCGCGCAGGGATGATAAGCATAAAACGCAGGCAGTATACGTCCTCCCCTGACACATGGAGACCAAGCCAGACTCGAGAAAGGAAAGCTCCATACGCCCATACGAGTATTTCAGAAGCTCGCAGTTACATGGCATCAAACGTCGCAGCGCAAATTCATTGCCTGTCACTGTCACTTTCTTCCGCCTCAATGCAATGCCGCATCATGAACACCTAAGACGCCGTTTGATCAACAATCCAGCGGCTGGCTGGCACACATTGACTGCAATCGACGGCAATCGACGGCCAAAATGGCCCTGCTTCAAGATGCTCTTTTCCAGCAGAAGGCTGGCACATAGCATCTTAGAACACGTGAGGGGCCTTGGGACAAGCACACATACAACCACACGATACCACACGTATCTTCACACTTTTACTCACACTTGGTTAAAGACCAGTCTGGTATAGATTCCAAAGCCTCACGGTGGTGAATGGTGAAATGTTAAAGACATGCAATAAGAACAAGCTGTGTTCCAGCAAGTGGCTGGCATAGCAGCTGCGCTGCAGGGCTGACTGGGCATCCCAGCATCTCAAATACATGTTGAAGGCTCGAGCCCGTTTGGGCCTCCATCTTTCAACACTAGGATTCCATGAGAAAACCCAGAAACGCCGCTGCAAGTCGCATCCCAGCAGTTGGCTGGCAAGGCGACAGAGCATCCGTGTCACCCCGGCTGGCCAACAAGAAAGGTTGGGTTCTTAGACTTTTGGGCTATAGGCCTATAGGGGGACATCGAAACAGCGACGCTGGCCCTCCGGCAGCCAAGCGCCTGCGTAGGTATATTACCCTGCACATGACTTGCCATCCTGGAACCTCAGGCAGCTGAGCACAGCCCCTGTGTCCTAACATGAGTGGTTGCATTCGACTGAAAGGTCTTGATCCTCGGGTCGACTCGCGAACTTCAAGCTGGGCGGATTTGCAGGTTCGAAGCTCGCGGACAACCCAAAGTGAAAGTCTGTGGTCTCGCCACATGCTTTCCTGGTGATACCGCAAACCTGACTCGGAACCAAATGCTCCTGCATTGCATTCAGCCCTTGGCGGAAGCATGCTTGGCTGTGCTCGCATGCACAAGAGAGCAAATAATGCATGCCTGAAGAAACACGGTTTTCGTTGGTGCAATTACCACTGATGTTGAGGGCGTGGCGCATCACCTCCACCTGCTTCCGACACTTGGAGCTGTTGTAATGGGGCTGAACCGTGGGAGTTTGGAATAGCCACAGATGAGGCATCTCCTGGCCAGGAGGCCCGTAGCCAGGCGCTGCCAACATGAAGCAGTTCGCCAGCTTTCGACACTCTGGGTGCACCACGAAAAACTTTTGCGAGCCGGTGTCCAGCTGCACCAAGAGCTTCTGGGGCGGCGTGCCCACCGCCACCTCCGCAGTGACGGTGCCATTTGGTCCCAGGACCTGCCCTGGCGCACCGTGAAGCGGAATGGCGTTCCCGGGAATTTGGCCGTAATCCTGTTGGCAGTCCTTCGCAGGGTCCAAGTCCAGCAGCATCGGGGCTGAGAGGCTCGTCGAGTTGAAGAGCAGCGTCTTGCCCCAGAAAAAGCTGGTGCCCAAGGTGATGGCTTCACCTTGGCTCCAAGACCAGCTTACGCGGAATACTCCGGAGCATGGGGTCGATTCGTAGAAGAAGCTGGACTTTGAAATGATGATGTCCTGGCCAGGTCCCACAGTGATAATCAAGTCATGCATGTGGTTCATAGCACAGTATCTCATGCCCTCTGTCACTGCTAGTGAAGACAAACTGTATGCGCTCAAACTCGCCAACTTGTCTCCCCAAACTTCTTTGCACCAGGGGCTGTGCTTGATACGGGCATGCAGGTGGTCGATCACCTTTTCCAGAATTCTGTAGGGAATTTGAAGACCAGCGATGACCAGCGGTTCCCGAATCTATGCAGCTCTTCTGTTCCTCCACGTTCTTGTTCCAAACCTTCACGGTCTGATTCGCCACGACTTGGGAGCCTAAAGAATATGTGATGTTATCATTCGGGTCCGCCAGAGACCGCACTGCATAGAAGTTGCCAAGGGCAGAGTTGAGGTTGAACATTGACAAAGCGATCGCACTACGGGGAATCACATCAGCGGGTGGCAGGCCGAGGTACATGCGGCCGCCACCAGACGGTGTGTTCTTGAGGCACATGGTGAAGGCCCGGTTCATCGGCCCATCCCGCGAAAGTGCCGTGAGCAAGTCATCGAAGTCGGAGCTGTCGCGACAATCTTCATCTCTGAAGCATCCTGGTCCCAGGCCAATGAGGCCCGCCTCGCTCGCAACAGTCTCGAACAAGTCACCCTCGAACTGGTTGCTCACCAAGTTCACACCAACCCTGGCAGAACCATTGAAGCCTCCCCATTGCACCTGATCACGGCCAACCATGCCCATGAGAAACATCCACGTTGGAGCACCACCATACCCTTGCCAAAAGAGCTCGGTAGAGGTCGGCAACTTGCGCTGGGCGAACTGCAGGTGGGATGTCTCGTCCGGACAACCCTCTTGCGACATCACCGACCCCACAACACTGAGAAGCCGAAGCAGGGACACCAGTGCGCGCATGGCTTCGAGGCAGGGCTTGGTCGAACGATGCTTCGGCCAAGCACCGGAACGTCGCTGTAGTTGGGCTTCTTAAAGACTCCCGGAAGGAAGATCGTCAGGGGGCAACCCAGATGGAAGGAACGATTCATCACGGTCGACGCAACGACATCACAGCAATGCATGGTCTGGCTCACACATGACTTGCCATCCTGGATGCTCAGGCAGCTGCGCAGCCTGTGTCCTAACATGAGTGTTGGCGTGCCCAAAATCATCATCCTCATCATCGTCATCATCCAGCAGCAGCAGCAGCAGCAGCGGCAGCAGCAGTCCTCGCATCCATCACCATGATCTCATCATCGCCGCTATCATCATCATCATCATCATCATCGTCTCGGCCACGCAATGGAACACGATCACTGTCTTCGTCTTCAGTATAGGTGGCACGAGCAGGATCCGCCAAGGTCAAGACGGAGACAATAACAAACCCCTCGCGCAAAAAAGAAACGAAGCGAGTGCTCAGCACACGGATGGCCTTGTTGGTGACATTGTTTATCTGGAGTAGCATCGTCGGTAAGCGCTTGTCTGTCGGCACTGCCCGGATAAAGCGGTCGTCCTGCATGGACTAGAATCCAAATCCTTCCCCGTCTTTCATTGACCCACTTCTTCTACTTCTGGGCTTGAAGATAAAGGCGGACAGCCCCCGTACAGGTGTTTGTCGGCACGATACATCGTAATCCCAGCGATGGCCCCCTGTGCTGCCTTCCAGGCTCATGCTGTAATACCACACTGCCAAGCTCAGCTGGTGCTCCAGGTGCACAGCACCGGCACTGGCTGTCCGAGTCCGTACAAAAAGACTACGTGAGTCAGAGGAGCCCTAGCCTTTACAGCCATTTAAAAGGGGCGCTTTGTTCACTCAAATTTTCTCCCTTCCCGCTGAAGACGCCCTTTCAAAGAACTTCTAGGACACGGAGCCGCGGGCCGTCCTTCAGGACCTCGCCTGTCGAATCCTGGCCCAGGATGTCAACTGTTGAGCAACCGGCGTTGTACCAAAATACAATGTTACATAGATGTGTGTGCGCATATATATATATATATATATATGCTACCCCCCCCCCCTCATGTGCCTACCTTTGGTGTGTGTTTGTGGTGCTTGTTTGTTGATTTTGTATACTCATGCATGTAGTATGCTTAAGAACTAACAGTTGCTAACAATGTCCCGTGAACACCCTCCAACACCAGATCACTACGAT